CCTCTGCATAGGTGGTCACTGGAGATGGAGAAATAGGAGCCTTCTGACTATCGGGCGACAGAATAATTCAACAGACAGCCACATGACAGGCAACACTTAATTGTATCGACATAATACCAGCAAAAAGTGAAAGATAGTCTTGTGCAGAATAATGATACAACTCTTTAACTTGACGGTTCTAATTCATGTCTTTAATTTCTCAAAAACCAATCAGGCTTCACATAGAAAGCAAACCAAATCCTCTTCACTCTGAGGATGCAGCATCCATCTGCCCTGCAAACTGTCTACCAATGATGGGACTAGCAAGACAGGTATTTGGGTTCTCATATGATGTCTCACTCATCACAATTGAGAAAGGGCAGGTGGTGGAGGCAGGTATCATATAAGTAATGTCAATCACTGCCAACATGTATTTTTGTATAGACTACTTCTACATTCCTTCTTTTCTGACTGGAATATAGAACCTACTTGGTCTAAATTGGTAATAGAAAACCATTAGATAAACGAGTGAGAAGACCCTCTTGTCCTAAGTAAATGTACCTTTTTTCTTAAAAAGTTGAAATCATATGTTGGGATATGTTATGACACACAACTGGGAACAGATGAATCTTGAACACAGATCTTCAAGTAGGGCTACTACTGCGCCATAAGACCAGGTTTACCGATATACTTTATTGCATGACAGCACAAAGGTATAGGTAGAATTAGTACTATAGACATTGTTATGAAGATGAGCGGCAGACCTTCAGCTCATAGATCAGTTCCTGTTGAGATCCCTATATGTTCTACTATGACATCCTCATTTTGGTGGAACTCAACACATTCTTCAGCATTAACCATTTCAAAACCATTACTTTAAACATATCTCCACCAAGATTTTCACCATAATTAGCATTTATATATACATGTATGTATTTACATTTACCACTAACCCATCTCATCCACATTTCCGATTTCACAAATTCAGACAATCTAAAGTTTCAACAATACTTCCAGAATGCATTCTATTTGGTCATAGTAGACATTTTGCTTTAGTCTTATTGCTATCAGTTCTTTTCCTGACCCTATGAAGAATGCAAAATCTCTCTCCACTGGAGGATTCATTATCCCCAGGTTGTTTTTGTGGAGGATATCATTCCTACTGAAATATGCAATTCATCCATTATGTTAGAGGATTTTATATCTCATGAATTACCTTCATGGAAGACGGGTGCCCTGATGAATTAGTTATTTTCTTTGTTGCAATATCTGGATCTCTGAGACAGTTAATTTCTTCTCGACAGTATTCTGGATCTGTGAACATTGGTCGTCTCACCTCAGAGCTAACATTGGCTTCCATGTAGCCAATGTTAGAACAGAATCTAGGAGCAGAGAGTTAGGACTTTCAGTTCTGCAAGCCTGTTTCTCCATTCAATATGATCATGGCAGATTCTATTTCTCAAAACCATATTCACACTTTATTTCCACACTCCTTGATAGGTTAAATGTCTCAAAATTTACCTGTCTATTTCTTGAATATAGTCAGTGATTGGGCCCCACCGCCTTATGCGGTAGCAAATTCCACAGGTAGACCACGCTCTAAGTGAAGAAATGTTTCATCATCTCAGTCCCAAATGACCTACCCTGTACACTGAAACTGTGACATGCTGCCTGCATCTAATCCATCCAGACCTGATTGAATTTGATATGTTTCAATCAGATACCCTCTCATTCTTCTAAACTTTAGTGAAGACAGGCTCAGTCAAACCAAACTTTCCTCATTGGATACACCTGCTGTCCCTGGTATCAGCCTAGTGAACCTCCACTGTGCTGCGTCTATGGCATGTATATCCTCTCTTACTCTGGGAGACCAAAACTGCATGAAATACTCCAAGCATGATCTTACTATGGCCCTTTAAAACTGCAATGAGACATCCTTACTTCTAAACTCAAATCCTCTTGCAAAGAAGACCAATATACCATTTGCCTTCCTAATTGTTTGCTGCATGTACCTGTCTACGTTCATTGACTGATGCACAAGGACATGCAGATCCCTTTGTACATCTACATTTCCTAATATTCCACCATTTAAATAATACCCTGCCTTTCTGCTTTCCACGTTGAAGTGTATAACTTCTTATTTAATGATGTTATTCTAAATCTACCATGTACTTGCCCACATACTCAATTTGTCTATATCACCCTGAAACCTCCTGCATCCTCCTCATAGCTCACTATCCTAGCTAGTTTTCTATCATCAGCAAACTTGTAAATGTTGCATTTTGTTGCCTCATCAACGTTATTAATATATAACATGAATAGCTGGGGCCCAAGTACTGATCCCTGCAGTACACCACCTGCCACCTGGATAGAGATCATTTTGTCCTATTCTCTGTTTCCAGTCTGCCATCAACTCTCAGTCCTTGTCAAAATATACCCCCTATCTTGTATGCTTTAATTTTGCCCACTAGTCTCTTAGATGGGATCTTATCAAAAGCCTTCTTTGAAATCCAAATACATCACACCCACAAGTTGTCTCCTATCTGTTCAACTACTTACATCCTCAAAAAAAAGATAGATTAGTGGAGCATTATTTGATTTTCATAAACCTATGATGACTTTGTCTAATCCTGTTAATATTTTCCATGTGGTTTTGTTGACACATCTTTTATAATAGATGATAGTACTACTTATTCAGAACTGATGTCAGGCGAACTGGTCTGTTCAATTTTTGCAAGCAAATCTTTATTCTCAATCGGTTGATATTCCTGTGTTGAAATCTATAGCTCTGTACTTCCATTTATTGACTAACTGGAATGTTTTACTTCACCCCAATGTAATTAGTTTACTGGTGACTAAACGTGTTCATATCCTCAGTCATGCTACTTGAGGAATGCTGCTTACTTAGCATGTCTGTCACCGGTACTGATTATTCTTTCATTAAAATGAAGAATTGAAACATTCCTCTTGAACGTGTGTTGTCTCATCATCTGACATCAAATTCAAATTGTCTTGGCTAATTTTTTTCGACGGTGTGTTGCTGTCTGAACAGCTTCAGTTAAACATACACCAATGAGCTCAAATGAGTTGAACTGCTCATTCTCTCTCTCTCTCTCTCTCTCTCTCTCACTCAACATTTGCATATTCTCATGAATTTTGCTGGTTTCTGTCTTCGGAACTTGCTTCAGCAATGATTTCAGTGAAAATCATTTCTGCTAACATGGTATAATCAGATTTCCTTCCAGTTGACAATATAAATCTTCTGATAACATAGGTCACCTTAATATATTTTGTCCTCTTTTGGGGTTCTACCATGACTCTAGGAAGCCCTATGAAATTTTCTACTGGTTGTCCCTTGACTAGTTATTCAACAACATTTATTCAATAATTAATATTTCCTTAACCTAAGGTTCCATAACTGGATTCTCCTTGACCGGTTGTTACCTGACTACCATCTCTTTAAATAACCTTGACATAATGAGCTGTCATTTGACATGTTTACTGTCAACTTTAACTAGTTGAATTCCTTCTTCCATTTGAATAGGGTTGAGGTCAAGAACTCCTGCCCAAGAATAATAATTCTTGATTGTGAAGTGTGAGTATATTAGCTACTATCTTGCAACCTTTGTGTTCCAGAGTTGCTTGGAAAATACCTTTAATATTTAAGATCTATATATCCTGGACCATATGGTTTTACTGCTGTAAGATGTAACCTCTGTTTCTTCATATGTGGCATGCACTCTGATAATATAGTGACACTCGCCCCAAATCAAGGTCAAAATTGATGAGATGTCCATTGACAAAAATCACTGCTTGCCAAAAAAAAATTGGTGGAATCACCAATTTTCCCAAGGAATACAATGAATGTCTATTTTATTGCAGGTTATTCTACTTTATTAACATCTTGGTTTTTGCTGCTTTGTAACTGTGTCTTACTTCTGTATATTGCCTGGAGTGTTCCTACTGTTTTACAGATATACCATTTTTTAAAAATAACTGGGCACTGCTTGGGCCTGTGAGGCTTTCTTGCTCTGCAATGTTAACACTGACATTTAGCACCTGTTGTGTGGTCTATTCTTTGTATTAGCTTGCCACATGTCTATTTAGGATTTTCTATCTTATAAAATGAATTGATTATGTTGTGCTCCTTTGATAAGGTTATCTTATTTTTCCCAGGGTTTCTCTGTGATTCTTCCTGCTTTCTGCTTCGAGCACAGTTTGAATATCTTTCTCCAAAGTCAAATTTTCTTTGTACTGTACTAAATCTGGCAAAGAATTATCAGCAATTCAGACAACAGTCCTGACTGATGAATCCTGATTTCAAAGCTTAACTGTTACATTTTTCCATTAATTTATAGAGATCATTAATAATGTTATTCTTAGATGCCCTTAGATGCTGAAACCTTCTGTTAAATATTACTCTTTCAAGAATTTGGTTTGACCTCAGTTTAAAGTAATTGCTAGGAGCTTACAGAATTTCATCAGAAGATTCTGTACTTTCTTTTTTGCCTTTGTGGACTATAACATCATTAGCTATAGTTCCATTCAAATTGAAAAAATATGAATACTTGTTCATTTATCATCTAGTTTGGAAGCAATTCTGTACTTAAGAACTGTTTCCTCCAAAATGTCAAATTCTGTGTTCTATTTAGTCCATTCCACAAATGTAATCTTCCTCACAATATTATTTTTTCCTGCAATTTCTTTCTAATGTGATTACGTATTCCTTCCAAAGGTTTACGGTTCTTTAATGTTTCGAAGCTGCTTTACTCTTATTGCTTTAAAGACTTTTAATCTTGCAGTAAATCAATGCTGTTTTATTCTTTTTCCTTGAAGGACTTTTAATTCTGATGTCTAACAATGTTGTGTTATTCTCCTTGTCGTAGAAGCATAGCTTCACAGAAAATAAAAACTGGGATAGGCCATTCAGCACTTGAAGCCTGTTCCACCATTCAAGATGACCATGGCTGATCATCCGATTTAGTACCCTTTTCCTACTTTCTTTCCATACCCTTTTGATCCCTTTATCCTTAGGTTCCTGGAGATATTGCAATAGCAGGTCAATGTATGGAGTAGACATAGCAAGCCCCTAGTCCATCTCCCTGCTCCAAAAAGCTATTAAGTATATGGTCCCAGAAAAGAGGCATATCATATATTAAACTGACAAGAACAGAAACTACACATCTTCTGAGCAAATGGCCAAGAAGGCTAATGGAATGCTGCCCTTCGTATCTAAAGGGCCGGAGTATAAGGATGCAGACGTTATGCTATTGTTATACCAAACCTTAGAGTACTGTGAGCAGATCTAGGTGTCACACCTTAGGAAGGATGTTTTGGAAGGAATTCAATGTAGGTTTACAAGGATTATATCTGGACTTCATGGGCCAAGTTAAGAGGAGAGATTAGGCAAATTAAGCCTTTATTCTTTAGAATTTAAAAGGTTAAGGGGTGATCTAATGGAGGTTTTCAGAATATGGCAGGAAAAACGGGAAGAGAAAGATAAATTATTTCCACTTGTTGAAGATTCTAGAACGAGGGGACATAGTCTAAGAATTAGGGTCTGGCCATTCAGGAGAGATGTTAGAAAGTACTTCTATATGCAAGGAGTAGTGAAAGTTTGGAATTCACTTCTTCAAATAATGGTTGATGCTAATTCAATTTCTGAGTTTAAATATGAGATGGACAAAGTTTTATTAAGCAAGGGTATCAAGGGATCTGAGTCCAAAGCAGTTTTATGGAGTTAGGCACAGATCAGCCATGATCTTATTGAATGGTGGAGCAGGCTTGAAGGACTGAATGGCCCACTCCTTTCCCTATGTTCCTAGAAAAAGGCAGTTTATTCCTACTCTTGGTGTTCTGTCTGCCACACAGTTCTCTATCCATATCAGCATAATTAAACAATTTACATGAGCAGTATAGTGATGCTGCTTCCCTGGATTACTTACTGGAGTAGTTGCCCTCATTTTTCTGGCCAAATGGACGTTTCCCAACTTCTTTGTTAAATAAAGACTTCCTACCTCTTCACAAAAGAAAATTAACAGTTTCCAGCTTTTCACAGCCTAATGGATAATCCCTAGTTTTACCCCATTTTTACCAAATAAATCTTGCTTCTATGGCCTTAAAGATGAAAACAACTTACATAATAGCTTTCCTTAGATGATTCGCATTGTCCACATTGTTTCTAATAATGTTCGTTGCTTTTAAATTTTAATGAAGATTCCCATTCACTTTAACAGCTTGACCAAATGAATAAATTCTTCCTGCCTTAACTGTGGCTTCAATTAACGATCTCCTACTCTTCTTGCAGCCTCAATTTTTCAGTTCACTTTGTTTCTCCTATTAGAACCTATCAGCTCAGGCTTTTAAATTGCCCCTTGATTGCCTTAATTTCCGCTTTGTGATGGTCCTGGTGCTGCAAACTCAGTTTAAATTATTTCTATTTTCTTCAATATTCCTGATGACAATCATGTCTCATGGTGACATCCCATTGTGGTGTAACATTCTTAACTTTTTGCCTTTTCAGCCTGAAACTGCATCTTTTCTTTAAAATTTTCCCTGTGGTTATCAGGGTTAGAACTTTGCTCACAGAGTCTCAGATGCCTCCTCACTCACTGTGTGACCTCTGCACTAGTACTCAATGTAATTTGTAACTGTGAGGTGTGACTAATGTTCTAGCTCCTGTAACTTCTAGATCACGCTTCTCTTACCAGGTCTGAAATGCTTTTCCGCTTGACTGCCTTGGTAGAATCTGACCACAAATATTTCTGCTGCAAGCTGCTTGGTTGCTCAGCTTCTATTGCTGCTGACTGCCTGCCTGAGTCAATCTTAAAGCTGTAGCTGCTCATTTCTGCTGGGTTAGGTGAACAACTCATTCTCTTACAACTAAATTAAATTCCAGACTGCACTATTGACTATCCCACCAATGCCACCCACTGCCAACATATGACTGGGTTTTTTGCTGCCACCATCCTCCTTTTCACAAGAGGTTTACAGAAACCTCTTGTTTCTGCAGAGGAAAGCTATTAGGTACTTTAATAAACAGAGGCTCTTGTCTTAAGCAAGATTACATTTTACATAATAACTATCAGGTACAAATGACTTAGTACGATGACCTTGGGCTGAATCGTAGCCTTTTTGGGCCAAATGTGAATTTCATTGGGATTTTTGGAAGATTTATCGCTGCAAGGCCCTTAACGAGTTTTCTCACTGTGTCTTACCAAACACACCTTAATAACTAACTATCCCATCCCTGCAGCATCTGTCATGTCCAATTCTAGCCCCACATTACCATGTGTTATTCCCAGAACATATCAACACTCTGCAGATATCAATTGAAAGGTTAGCATCCCTTGCAGCCACTCCACTTTTTAAAGGCTGATCTGCAACCAAATGAGCATTGACATTCCAAAGCTGCTTCATTCAAGGGCAATGGCAGAAGATGTTAGAAAACAGGAAGGAGGCACGATGATCCTCCATCAGGGACCTGGAGGTCCTTGTCAAGGAGGTGGTGCAAAACAGTGGGCTGGTGGAGGAGGCCGAGCCACCAGAACCTGACAACTTGATCTGAAGTTACCATTCAGGTAAGTGCCATCTCTACGATATAGATCAATAGTCAACAGCTCTGCAAGAACTTTACTATGCAAGGTAAATATCGCAATCTTCTCTCTGCCACCTCACACTCACTCAATCTCTGACACTGCACCCAGCACCCACCGAGACTCATTTTGCCAGTATGATTTTTGCCCGCAATATCTTCCTTCACCCATGCTTAACAGCCCAACTCCCATGCACGTCACTAACCCCCAATGTCCTCTCAGCCTACTCACTCACCTGTGACAACTTTTGTTAACATATACAAACACTAAGAACTGTGTCACCCACTTTGGTCACCATTCAATCTCTCCCTTTCTCTCACTCCAGAAGAAGACAGCCCACAACAAAGCAGAGTGATCTCATATGGGTGGAGGGGTATCTGACATTAGGCTCCTCATCAAAATGAAGAGAGAATGCTGGCTCTCCTAAGAAAATATGGCAACTGCTCCTGCAGACATGCTGAAACATCCATGTCCCCTCAAATGAGTTAAGTAGCACGCTTCATTAACACTTTCCAGCTAACCACACTGTTAATTTCAATAACTACACATCACTATTCCTTCTAGGTTCCCCCAGAATGTCCACTACCTCCACGGTGAAATGGAATTGGTTCTTCAGGAGCAGGCTTTGGTTCCGTCAGCTACAGCTTCATGGAAAAATCATAGAATCCCTACATGCAGAAAGTAGCCATTTGCCCCATCTAGTCCACAGAGTCCCTCCAAAGAGAACACCACCTAGACCTAGACTCCAACCCTATCTCCATAACCTTGCATTTCCCATGTCTAACCTACCTAGCCTGCACGTCCCTGAACACTGCGAGCAATTTAGCATGGCCAGTCCACCCAACCTGCACATCTTTGGACTGTGAGAGGAAACCGGAGCACCTGAAGGAAGCCCAGACAGACACAGGGAGAATGGCAAAGAGGTTCACATTGGTCCAGCAGTTCTCCCATTTGATCCTCAGGACTTGGCTCAGGCATTGCTGTTGGAAGCTCTCAAGGATTTTAATGGGATGTTGGTGAACAGTCCAAATTTCGCTGTAGTAGAAAAAGGCAGTCAACACAACTGCCTTATAGACCAGAACCATTGTTTGATTTCCAGACATTCCTGATGTAAAAGACACATTGGTACAGTTTGAAGAAGGCAGCACTAACACAGTTGACTTGGTGCTGGACTTCTTCATTAATGGCTGTGCCTTGGGAGAGGTGAATGCCAAAATATGGGAAATCCTGTGCAGGTTTTAGAGCCACCTCATTCACATGGATGTGCAGGAGATGTTCATCTGACTCAGGTTAGGTTGGCAGAGGATCATTTCTTTGGGAGTGTTTATGAATCAGACAAGCAGCATACACAAGTCGTTAAAAAGGTTAAGTGTCGTTTGCATGACCTCTAGGGAGTGAAAAACTAAGAAGCAGTCATCCATAAACTAAAGGTCATGCAAGTTTTGTTTTTGCCCAGAAGTGACCAAGGTTGAAGAGCTTCCCATCCAGAGGATATTAGATGCTGACACTAATTGGAAAATCATCTCAGAAATGGATGATGACCAAGATAGGGGCAATCACATAACTTTGTTTGACTCTGGTCTGTATGTAAAAGTTGTTATCTTCAGATCCTCCACTCAGGACAGTGGTGGTCATACAAGAGTCTCAGGCTGGTAATGAACCGTGGTAGGCAACAAAACACTGAAGAAAGATTCATAGGGTTTCATAATTTAGTGAGGATATTATGAGTATGTCTCTCAAAGGTTTACTACAGACTGTTTAAGATTGACCAGGGATCAAAAATAAATGATGCCATGGCCTGTGAAGTCCACGTCCCATGAATGAAGGGCAATGAAGGATTTGTTTTCCTGCGTCATATCAGCACAAACCTGCAGAAATAAGGTGTGGTTTGGAGGTGACGTACAGTATTTTCATGCATAATTTTTAAAAGGTATTGTGTGACTTCAGTTAAATGGATTTGATCCACAATATCTGGCTCAATCAGCATTTTCAGTTCATACACTAAGCATTTAATCAATGTCACTCTACATTAGAATATGCAAACTGGCATTAATATCACCCAAGGGAATTTTCATGCTTGGACTACCATTTTTAACATGACAGTAGTCATTGTAAAAATTGCCACTCAGAATATAGGCCTCACAATCATTCTCCCACAGGGCCTTAGTAATTGTTACTTTAATGATGTATGTTAATTCAGTGGCACTGTCAAGCTTGATAACTTTTCTAATTCATTTCCTTCAATTGCATCAGCATTCAACTTTTAAATTATTTTGGAGCAGAAATTACAAGATTTTTTAGTTAATTCTAAATCATTGAACAGTTTGATTGCAAAAAGTCATGTAGCGTCCACAATATGAAGGACTAGAAAACAAAATTTAAATGAACTTCAAACTGGACATCAACAAAATAGAGCAAATGAGGGAAATTTAAAATCAAAAAGAGAAGCAGCTGGAAATGTTCTTGCACCCTTCATATCAAATATATTCTTCTTTTATAAAATGCTGCATACAGTTGATCAAAATTTCTATTTTTCAAAAATGATTCAAGAATTTTTTTTGTCTGTTTTTGTATAAATCTTTGCACCAGATTGTAACAGAAATGTGATCTGAAATTC